AGACACTCTTGCTCCCGCAGCAGCTGCTGATGCGAGTGGAACTGGGGTAGGGGGGGGGGGGAGGAGGAGTTTTTGGGTGGAAGTAAGTGGCACCTCTCAGTATTTCTCATTGCTTTTTATTTCACCAATTGGTATAAAGACTCAAAAAATTGTATTTGAAAAAATTGACTTATCCACATAGTCCTTTGTTCACTAGAAAAGTTATTCGTTTTTGTTATTTGATTTTTTGCAGCTTGATTGAGCGGTGGCAAATTTTTAGCTTTTTGTCGTTTGCACTTTTTAACTACAATGTACCTTATTCCTAACTAATTTTGGGAAAACGGGAACGGCTTTTTTCGTCGTAACGTGAATATCATAACAAAAAAATAAACAGTTTCAATTTTCCAAAATATCCCACCTAGTTGTCTGTAATATTTTCACGCACTGGATTATCATTAGAAAATTTTCTGTTGCAGTAGCAGTATATTCTCGCTTACTTGGCAAAAAAACTGCAACAACTTTCCATTGCGACGTGATTATTGTAAAAAACACATTGTGATGATTTTTAGTGAATTCAGACAATTCATCGGAACCGCAAGACAAGCAAAATATGCAGCGGTTCCGCACGATTTTGTTCACTATCACAAAAGTGAAAGAAAGAGAACTTCCGCAGGCTTTTTACAAAATGCTGCGGTAATTCCGAAAATGCCAGCGGTTCCGCAGCCTTTGACTTGCCAGTACTTCCGCAGGATTTTAAATGTGTTGTTTCTTACGATGTTGTCTCGCCAACAACTAGAGTGCATCGTTGAACATGTAATCCGTAGTGCAGAGGATAGTGAGTGAGACTCATAGTCAATAAAGCAACGTTCAAATTTCGCTAAGGTGTTCTCTTTTGCTGTTGCGGTTCGTATTCTTGGGAACTTCCGCGGCGCTTCATTTAGGAACTTTTGCAGCATCTTCACGGAACTTTCGCAGGTGATTCGCCGAAACTTTCCCAAATGTTCTGCGGAAGTTCCGGTCAATTTCTCGAGAAGATATATCAGAAAGAAAACGAGCACATCATCTAAGCGTTGACATTTTGAGAATTTAGATTACAATGACTAAATGAAGCAATGTTTCTCCACTTCTTTTATTTTAAGCTTCAAATTGTTATCATTGAAGCACTCAGACATTCAATGCACTCAGACATACCAGGCACTTAAGTGTTCTCACACCCTCGCAAAGCTTTTTTTCTTACGGCGCAGTTTTGTCAGAAGTACAAACAAGTCTTTTGTTTGGCTACTTCCCGCCTCCTCCGACTAAGTTATTTAGCTGTCTAGCTTTATCAAAAAATTTCCATAGCTCTTCAAAATCCTTTGCTTGATTTTTTGATAATAACCATCAGCTTCGCTTTCTATCCAACGTCTAAATTCATATTGAAAAATGACTCTGAAATAGGTTTTCTAAAAATGGAGTTTTCGTGACCCCCAATTTCGAGTCATTTAATTTCTTTCTGTAAATCATTTTTTTTCACTATAAGATGTGTTTTCAGCGGAGCTACCCGCCCATCCCACCATCCCCTTCCTCCTTTTCATTCTATGTCTGCATCTAGGCTAAGGTTAGGTGCAGCATGTTTTTTCACTATTTCCATTACTTCAGTGAGATATAAAAAATTTGATTTCCGATTTGATAGACTAGTGCACTAGACCCGACTGTCCTTCCAGTCTCGGAAGAACACTTAATTGCCTTCTCGACAAAAAAGTAATGTGAAGCACTCTTGCCTACCTTTTTTCCCTTTCTTGCAAATGTGGAAGATTTTAGCTTTTTCGCTTCTTTTTTGGTATTATGGGGGTTTTTTTCGCGATAACTGTAGGTAAAACGAAAGAAGCGGGGCTTGAATTTGAAGAAATTTTGTACATTTTCGTTAAGTACCCCCTTTGTAGCAACAATCTTCGCGGAAACCAGGTGCAGAGAGAAAATCTGCAGTAACATACTCCAAACTCAGAAACGCCAGTAATTTATCTTTTGAGATGTGAGCAGCAAACTTCTTTTACGTTTTTGTAACTCATACGACATAGCCAAAAACTCTTGTACATACCGGATCAATTGAAGTCACTATATCTGACTGTGAAAATTGCCGTTCACTGTAATGCTTCTTTCATGAATTTTCCTTTTAGCGTAGCGTCTGTTTCCAATGTTCGTCAGAAGTGTGATTACTCAGACAATTGCATCGGAAGGTTCGCGGCCTCAAATCGCGTTACATGGCGCGCCGCGGCCCTTGAAATTTGAGCCCCGCACGCCGCGGCCCATGTATTTTTTACCGGGAACGCCGCTGCCAAAGTTGAAATTGGGAAGTGATTACCAGGAGGGTCGCGGCCCAACCACCTCACTCGACGGGCCGCGGGCCTTGTCAAAGGCCGCAATTCTTACACGCAGTAGTTTAAGGCGCAACCCGCGTGAGGTACGTCGCAGCGGTGGGGCTACCCTAAGTGCTTATGAGGTTGTGCATAGCTTCTCGGATTTGGTCCTATCTGACAGAGTTGAGTATTTATGCTTATGAAATACACTTCAGCAGTCGTATGAGTATTATCGACGACACTAGATGATGTGGACAGGTGAGCTAACAAGTTGCTCAATTTGCGCTCAAGTCGTTGTCATGAAAGACATGTCAAAAGATTTTTCACTCTTCCTAGGTCTCACAAGCATGCTAATCGGGTCAACTATCGAGCGCTTACAGGGTGCGCTGCGGTCACTTATAGGGTACAACATCGGTTTATACCGGGCAGCTCGCGGCATGGATGATTGGTGGTCGAGCAAGCACCCGCGAACTTCCCGATGCGATTGTCTAAGTACACCATTGAAAAAGCTTGGATATGCGGTAAAAATCAGCACGCTTCATAACCTTAATACACAAACTTTCAAAAGGCCTAATGCCACAGCGGCGCTATATGCTAAAAGTTTATACTGTATTCCTACAGTAACACAGCAAGATCGGAGATTCGCTCCATGCTGTAAGCTTAATTGTAAGATGAACCTGGCTCTACAAAACGGTACCTCAAGCTCGGTGAAAGACGTGAAAGCAAGCTTATTGACGATCAGATAGTGTTCACATATTTTTGTATTACTTCGAAAAAAAATCAACCCATCGTCCCCGGAAGTGTCGAGGATGATTATCAGTTCCTTATTCGATGTACTAAAGTCGGTCAGGGAATCGGTAGTACAAGCTCAACATCCTATCAATTGTCGCTTATCCTCATGTCGCGCCAAACTAAGGTAGGGCTGCAGAGTCTCAGGAGCTTGAAATCATGTACAGATGCGTAAAGACATCATTATCAAAGGAGATTCAGCTTGGATCTTGCGGAACTTCCAATTTTGATGACATCAGTTTTATTGAAAGCTAAAGTGACGCACTTCAAGTCTTCTTACCCTTTTATCAGCACACCCTGAATAAAATATGACTTATTTTGACTTAGTGCACACCTAAGCAATCTATTCCCTAATGCGTTGACTTTTTCGGTATACACAAAGCCTATATCTGAAAGCCGCTATGATTTTCCGCTTACTCGAAATTTTGGACAAAGAGAAAGAAAGAAGGAGAGTTAACATCGATGACACACCTTGAACCGATGATTTAATATTAGGTTGGCCAATAAATAAGTTCGTTTTGACATGCAAATTCAAAGCTTCATAACAATTCAAGTAACAGCTATTCAGCTAAGATTTTTTCGTAAGAAGATAGCCTCAAGCCTCTACTCTTAAATATTGAATAGTCAGGATTTTGTGTAAGCAAAAAAGACGGTTATAACCTTATATGGTCAAACTTCAAAAAAAAACGCTCTTTTGAATCTCTAACTTTCGTTCTCAGCCTGCAGTGAGTACACAGGCAAGTAATTTGGTGGCTGGGTGCATACAGCCTCTGGCCCCTGCAGTCAAAATTGTGACTTCCAGGCATTTGCGCGCGAAGGTCAAATTTTGGGCATTCCAGATAACTCGAATTTGACCATCGGCCATGCAAATGGTTGGAAATTCAAAAATTTGTTGTGTCCATAGCGAATCTACACTTTACACCTGACTTCAGTTCGTTTTTCGGAGCGTGATTTTTCGAAATTTTGAGGAAAAAATCGAACCAGTTTTCTTTCCCTCATTATTTCATTATCAGAAAAATTATTTTTGAGAAAATAGAGTTGACCTTCCGATTTTCCTTGATTTGCTCTTTCCAGGGAACATACATACACACAAAAACTGATTTGTGACAATTCTACAGACCGCTAAATACGACCGAACTTATTTTTAGCCAACCTAATATTATGATTATCACAATTACTTACAATTGGGAGCAACTTACACTTGCATGAAGATATCTCCGAAGAGAAGAAGGGGGGAGGGGGAGGGAGGTTCAATATAGAACAACACTGTTTGTCATTAACGAGTTGATTCAGTAGCTAGTATCTCAAGTTCCACCCTCTAATATCCTTGAGAGCTGCCTTTATATATATGCTCATCAGGGTTAGGCACAGCTGGCATCGGATCAAGCTGGATATCGTTTTTTGGGCAAAAGGCAAAAGGGATATCGTTTTTGTGGTTAACAATTGCGATGTTTTTTTAGTCTTAACATTTAGTTTTGAGAGTTTTTATAAGTTTAGAATGTAGGATCAAAGGGAACTTCGTTTTGAAATTTCCTTGATGTCAGCTCGTGCCAAGCCTGGTGCTCATTTATAAGTTCAATCAATTCTATCATATTTGTTGTGGCTAGTGATTCTGAGGCTCCCGCCAGAGTGCCGAAGTTATGCCAGCGCTACGCCAGCATTTCGATCGATACACGTGTATTTCGTTGGGCGGGGCTAGCTGACGTCCCCAACGAAATACACGTGTATCGATCGAAATGCTGGCGTAGCGCTGGCATAACTTCGGCACTCTGGCGGGAGCCTGAAGTCCGCGTCCATTTTCTATATTTGCTCATTGTGCATAGGTGCATTCCAGCTAGCATAACGTTTCCATGATTTACTTTTGTTATATATATATACTGCTTTTATTTTCAGAATATGTTGGGTGTTCTGTTAAGGCAAAAAGAAAGTGGCCGAGCAGTTTCTTCATCACTCAGAGTTCAGTCGTTCTCTCGGGCTACCAATGACTATAGCTCTCGGTGAGTTTCACAGCCGAGTTGTCAGATTCAAAAATATTTGAATATATATCTTGCAGTATGCATATGTTCGGTCCCTTTGCTCATATTCGTACTAATGCCATTCTCGTTGACCAGTCTGGCTGGACCATCGACCTTATTGACTGTGCTAATCACTTTCATAGTGGTATTGCTAGCATGTGGGTCTTTTTTTTTTGAAGAAGAAGAAATCTTCGACCAAGAAAAAGCTCCTTTGGAACGGGTGTCTCAAAGACATAAGTTTCTAATAATCACGAATAACTTCATCAAGAGATTTTTGACTTTTAAGAAATGAAAATCTAGGAAATGTTGGAGCAAAGTCATCATTTAGCTGTATTTATGTAGCTTTTACTGTTACAAGGTGTTCTTGCGGACGACAACGAGTGCATGTGAGAAATGGTCTCCTCTTAAAGTGCGGCCAGTACTACGCGCAATTGCCACCGCCGCAAGTGCACCATTTCAGCTCAAAATCTACCAAACTATAAATTTGAAAATCAGTTTTTTTTTCAGCTGCACATCTAACCGAACTCTCGTGCGCCTTGCCGAAGAACTGTGTCCTGTATCAATTCACTTATGTTATGCTTGGAGAGCTTCCCGCGTTCATCGTCGCTTGGACTGCTGTCCTTGACTCTGTCTGCATTTTGAGAATTCTATGTCGAGCCTGGAGTGAACATACAAGGCTTCTAAATTGCAGAGTCGCTTGCACCAGCGGTCGCGCGACCGCGTCGCGCCCAGGCATTTTGCCGGCGCTGGCGCCATCGATCGAGGCGGCGCCATTGATGCCCGGGCGCGACGCGGTCGCGCGACCGCTGGTGCAAACGACTCTGCCATTTAGGGGCTCTGTATTGTAAGTGAGGATCCACAAACAAAAAGCACTAGTTTGCAGAAACAGTGCGCGCCGCGTCCAACTGCGCGGCGCGGTTCAGGCATCGCACGAGCATTATAGGGAAGGAGTGAGTGCGTAGTCAGAATATACGCAGACAGCTAAAGCCGCGTCGTCGTGTTTTGTCGTGCGCAACATGTTAGGTGTTGTGTGTGCTACTGCCAAGTTTGACAAGTGATATACTGTGCTGCAAGACAAACACACACTTGCGCGTAAAAGATGGTCATCGGACGCAAAGTGTGTTTGCGGCCATTTCCTACGCGCAAATGTTGTCGGCACCGCAAAGGCACTATGGCAACACTAAAAAGTTATCCCAAATATGAGATTTCTTTCCAGAATCTCTTATTTTGTCGCTTTCTTCACCCATATATGTCGCTAAAATTGCTCCATCAACAATCAGGACTGTAGATAATCAGTGACGATTACGACTTCACAGCATTATTTGCCGTACTCATCACTTTTCTTATCCTCTGCCGTAATCTACGGGTATCTTCACATTCTTTCATTACTTTTACCAAAAAAAAATTTAAGCCTTTCAATTTTCAGGTCGTCGGTACAATTTCGCTTTGCTTAGTTGTTGTGGCTATCTTGATGACAGCCAGCTGTACTATGGTAGGATTTTTTCCATGCGGATCCACAGAACTGGATTGACGCCAATTTTTTCAGATTTGGATTCGATGGAGTGAGTTTGTTTGACTGTTCAAACAGAGAATATAGCAGACCTCATTTAACACAATTACTGTTGTAGTCACATGAACATTTGGTTTCAAAGACTTTACCTCGTGAAAAAGCAAAGTATAAACCCTAACTTGCTCTGCTAAACATGCTTGCGAGCTATCGATAATCTCTATACAAAAAATTGTCCACTCAGACAAACTACAATCATCGTTTGTCTCCAACATAAGCCTAAGAAAACGCGGCGTCCACATCGCAGCCCGCGCGCGACATCGCAGCAGTTGCATATCGTGACAAATTCAGCTTTTACTGCAAAGGAAACTTTTCCAGAATTTATTTCTGAACCGCCAATTTTTTTGTTTTACCCTTTCAACACTACAACATTCATGTTGCTTCTATCAGGTCCTGAAGTCAATATGTGCTTTGTCGTATGCATTTGCTGGCGTTGATGCTAGTTCGTACCTCTTTGAAGAAACGAAAACACTACGCAAACAGCTGTCTACACTACGACCAACACTGGGGACCTTCCTCTCGTTGTTCTTCTTCTTCGTCGTTATGATCTTTAGGTAAGTCGTCAATGGTTACGGTAGCATACGGTAATGTGCACCACATAAAGTATGATACCGCAACCTTTTAGCTTTTTCATCAGGCCATTGCATAAGCACCAGCCATATGACCATATAATTCATTTGTCGTTTAACTCTGAATTTCCTCCCAGTACCGTAATCATGGGCGCTGATTGGTCCGCTTTGGACGGTACGGTACTACGCGGGATTTCAGTCAAACCCACAGGATTCGTATACTAGCCGACTATCTCATGCTTTATAATATGAAACATTTCAGCCTTTCAACAGATGTCTCCAAACTGCCAGAAAATGTGCTTGTGCCCGAGATGTTCAGCGTTTTGAACGTACCCGCGGCCAAGTGAGTAAGCTTCTTACAGTTTTTCAAAAATCTGTAGTTGTTTATAGTATGTGGAAGCACAAAGGTGCTCATTCCCCTTTCCTTCCGGTTCTGTATCCGCCTTGGAATACTTTGCTGCTCCGTGCACATCAGTTGATAGCGAGAGACTCTTTAGGTTTGCGTTCCCTTTATATATGCGTCGGACAATATGCTAATTTAAGCACCGCCGGGATCATTTTCGGAAACAAAAGAAGACAACGTTTGCTAGGAAAAACCGCCAGGCTTTTCCTCATGATCAACGCTAACACTAACAAAAACACGAGCAGGTGACTTGATTTCTTCAGGGAAGGAAAAAAATGAAACACAAGTGTTCAGGGCCTGCAAAGCTTGTAGTCAGAGAGAAGTTGAGCGTTATGGTTGTCATGAGGGTTCCAACCCACCATCCGTTAGTTCTGAACAGTCTTTATCTGAAGATTCAGAGGAGGAGTTTTCCGAAGAAAGCGTGGAAATCTAGATACAGTGCCTTGTTACATTGATGATGCTGATGTGTTTTGCCCATATCTATATATCATACATATTCCAACATGCTTTAAGATGTTTTCCATATATGTAGAAAGTAGATCAATCACTTTGCTTTTACATTGTTAATCCTGATATGGAAGAAGTATAATGTTTCGCATATGTCCTTCATATATTCCTACATTACGTGGAAGAAAAGTATCCCAGATCTATAACTATTTCTATTACTTTTGCACATTAGAAAGTGATTTGATGTTTCTTTCCATTCGTCTTTGCTCAGCACGGCGTCCAAAAATGCGAACCTCGCGTCGCACAGCGCTGCGAAACGCAAGGTTTGACTCAAAAAAATTCTACCAAAGTACTCCTTTGTTGTTTCCAGCAGTCTTCCTCCGAAAAGCTGGCCTTCTCTTCGTGCATTTGATAGAATTCTACAATGTGATAGTAACGTGAGTAAGGATGTTCACAAAGAGTTCAACTCACTCTTCGGTTTTGGCAATAAGAAGCTTCCCGACTGCAATATACAATGAGCAGCATGATGACTGGTAGCACACCTGGGAGAAAGTTACAAACGGTTATAATAATTGGAATCCATGGATACCTGAGTGGTGGCCGCTTGGTAAGGCTGCAGGAACGTTCGCATCGCTTTCAACGTTCGGATCTCTCCGTCTTCCAAAGGCGCCATGTCAAAAAGTGATGTCAGTCTTTCAACAGCCGACATCTTCAACAAACAGCATTGTCAGCAGAATTGACGTCTTATACTTCACCCACCGCGGCAAGAAAATCGAAGTGCACCAGCCAACTTCAAGCGGTCGCGAGCGTCGTGTAAGCGGCTGCATTCGTGATCCTTGGGCGTTGTGCACCGTACGGGTAAGAACTGCATCTGTACACGTTGATCCTGCGGCTTTGTTCGACAGCAGACCTTATTTGTCAGACTTCCACTAGATTTCAAAGACGTTTAGCAGAGTATAAAATTGGCTGGAGCTAAAATCTAAAAATGAGAAACATTGCAACTCGGTATAAGCACCTAACGAGCTGTTCGGATTCATAGCGCTATGTGCGATTTCTTTAAGCAGTAAGGTGGCCACATATATACTTAAATTCCACAAATGTTATGATACATTGCCTGTTCATCGGAGACTTTCGTGGACGAAGGCATGTGGTCTCCTCCGCGAAGCGAGCACGAATGCCCCTATAACCCCGGGCATACTGCAGGCATTTCAGTGGCGACGTGGTATGGCAATACTCAAATTGTCCAAAACCTATTCTGAAAGTACAGAATGCAGGGCATTTATCTTTTTAGTATGTTGTACACGCTAACCATTTGTGGTAAGCTGCCGTTACATCTGAAGACATCTCGTAGCTGGCAAATCGCTTACGGCGATCTAAACCGTCTAATCCTGCACTACGACTGCGATGTCCTTTACTCAGTATACACCAGTTCGCAAAAAACTCCAAGGTAACGAATAGGCAGTTTTGCAATAATTTATGCGAGCAAGAGTGCTCACTAGTGTGGGCTTTGCGTACCGCAAGCATGAGCAATGCAAAGAAAGAAGAGCAGCCATTTCAATTCAGTAGGAACTCAGAACATGAGCTTGAATTTGATATCTTCTTTGCTGATTTTGTGCCAATAGCAGTGCGAACAATCTCATTGATCGAAAAAACATCAATTAAAATCCACATATGATTTTTTTACTGTCGCAAGGAGTCGGAAGAATGCGACTCTCCATACAGTTCAAAGGTGTACCGGTTGCAAAAGATGCATTACCGAGTTTTGCGAAAAAAAAAACGCAGACGAAGTGAGCTTGATACTCAGCAGTTGGCTTTGCAATAAAGTCGAATAATCTGAAAACGGAGTACATTGGAATACGAATTCGGATAAACATTCGAATAAGGCATTCGAATAAAATCTATTCGAAACCCCGTTTTTTGATTATTCGAGTTTTCGAATAATATTTGAAACCCCGTTTTTTGATTATTCGAGTTTTCGAATAATATTCGAAACCTCGTTTTTTGATTATTCGAGTTTTCGAATAATATTCGAAACCTCGTTTTCTCAATTATTCGAGTTTCGAATATAATTCGAAAACGGAAGAACTCCGAATATCGAATTTCGAATACGAATATATTCGAATGTTTTATTCAAATTATCGAATTTCTATTCGATTCGGACCCAAGTACAGTAGGTATACGGTAGGGGGTCAAGTCTGCGGAATTGGTTGAAACTTGGCCCCGGGGGGGGGGGGGTATCTGACACGCTGATCACGAATATCACATTTTCCCCGCAGGAAAACGCTTCCTTGTGGGGCTACGGGTGTACGGTAGGGGTCAGTTCTACGAAATTGGCTGAAACTTGGCCCAGATGGATTACCCGGCTGACTGATCACTGAAATGCACTAGCTGGCCGCACAACACGTCGCACGGAGTCACGGTAGAAATAATGCGTTGATCAAAAGCAGATCGAGCTGAAAACTGCGCAACGTGGATTATCTAACAACGTGCTGATTTCGACCAAATCTAGTGAAGATATCAAAGTCCCTTGTTTGCTACTTTCTCTATATTCTTCCTTTCTATTACGCGCATCACCTGTTTTTAGTGGAATAGGGTGATACTATTGACTCTTGAAATGTTTCATAAAATAGCAGGGTGCATTTTTGCAATCCTGACGAGCATACTCCAACCCGCAAATTTTACGAAGCATCGACCTGGGACTACATGATGATCTCCAAACAATGTGCATTTCAATCGATAGCTATGGCATTTTCCGTGCAATCGTCCTCCGTCGTCTTGAGGAAAAATTGAGGGACTTCACGCTTGCCGAAGTATTTGACAAGATCAAGACGAACAACGACGCCTCTGAGGATTGGCTTAGATCAATTGGACTTCTAGCCAAGCCTAGATGTTCTACAAGCGGGCACCCAATGACGCTCAATTCGGAGCGCAGGCGCTGGTACTGCCACAAAAGGGACTGCCGTCGCGGGCCCAGAGGAAGCACCAAGCCAAGCGTAACCCACGGCTCATTCTTTTCCACGTGCACGCATCCTTCTGATCAAGATCTTCGCCTTGTTGTATTTCTGACTGCACAACCGGCACGACCAAGGACAAGGAGTACGAGCTAGGCATAGGACACGATGGATCGTCCATTGGGTACAATACTTTCGGGACGTCTGTTGCGAGCTTCCGACGGAACCCTCCTGTATCAGGAAGATTTGGACGCACTGTCGAGATAGACGGGACATGTGCAGCCAAGCGGAAGTACAACCGTGCCGTTTTGTGCGCGTGCATCAGTGGCTCTTCGAAGGCTACGAAAGAGGATGCCACATTTACCTGACCGTGAACCACCAACTGAACTTTGTGGATCCAAGGACAGGCACACACACCAACATAGAAAGCCATGGGGAAGATTCAAAAGGGTGGTGAAGCAATAGTGCAGAGTCAATAACAGGCGCTACGCAAGCTAGCTGAGGGAGTCCATGTGGAGACGGGAGCTCGGCAAGCGTGAAGATTCTCTTTTCCTTCTGGAGGCAGGTAGCCCAGCTGTATCCGGTTGATTGCTAATTGATACGCTATCCCAACGGTTTTCTTTAGGGCCACCGATTACAACTCCTTTGACGGTGTATTAACAGCACGTTTGCGCTTTTTAGGTTAACGTAGGTCTAAAAAAACACTAAGGATCTCATCAAGCGTATCAGCTAACCCTCCGGCTAAATTTCAGCTAAATCTACGATTAAACCTGCCGTAACCCCACACGGAGGCGTTTTTCTTCGGAAAAAATGAATATTCGTGATCAGCGTGTCAGATAACCCCTGTGGACCAAGTTTCAGCCAATTTTGTGGGCTTGATCCCACGAAATTGACCCCTACCGTAAATCGACCGTAATCTCGCTGGAGGCGTTTTCCGAGGGCAAAAAGGTTATATTCGTAATTAGCGTGTCAGATGACCCCGTAGACAAAGTTTGAGCGGAATACACGACTAAAAAATTAAAAAATTTCGGGGCCCGGATAGCCGAGTAGCACCGAATATCCGCTTTCCGAAGAGATTTTTGTATTTCTTCCGCCTTTAGTGTTATTTTTTTCTTGTTTACCACACAATACTAGTTGCTGGAGGACTCTCCAACAAAATCAAAAAGTTTTTTTTCTTACTATCACATAAACTAAATCCTTTATTTAGGCTTGTGATCACGCTTGCTATAACTACAGTTTCATGCTGAATGTGTGATCTTTCAGATATCTCGAGCCAGGCTGAGCGATCTTGAGTATGAGTTGGAACAAGCCCAGAAACTACTTGAAGAGGCAAGAAAACAACAGCGGAAAGAACGTGAACACATCGAGAAGCTACAGTCTGAGGAAAGGCGTTGGAAACATGCAGTTGGTCTTGAGTAGAAGTTGGAAACTGTTGGCTTCCAACAATAACAATACTATAAAATAGTGATATTTATTTGTCTAGGCCTAGACAAATAAATATCACTATTTAGGGCTTTTGGAAATTTGTGTGTATAAGTATGGTCTGTCTCAGTCGGCTTGTCCTTTCGATTGGCACATCTGCCTCGGAGTGCCTCGTGCGGCGTTCGCGTGCGTTGTTTTGCACACTTAACGGCCTTATCGATCAGTTAGGGCTTGCGTGGCCGTCGCCTTGCGCATATAGGACGTTGCATAGTCTAGAATATGATGATACCAGCCGCTCTCTGCCGCTACGCGGCAGATTCATCTGGTACTCAGCAGCTTCGCTGCCTCGTAAATCTTTCGTTTCAGTTTATAATGCGGAGATGTGAAAATTTGCCGTTCTGCACGGATTACTTTTACCGTACCTGCGCAGAAGGAAAAACTGAGGACATAATTTTGGCTTTGTCAATTTTGATATCACGCAGACTGCAACAACCAATAGATCGATAGGAGCAACCTGTGTGTCCCGGAATAAAATGGCTTATTACGGGCTCGTTAATCCGGTACTTTTCCGTTATCCGGAGCCATTTTTTAAAAGGCTCTCATATTATACGTTCTTTAGTTTAAGAATATTTTCATAGATTTTACGAGGGTTGACTCCTTGCCATGTGTCACAAAAAAATTGACACGTTTTGGTCCATTTTGACATGTTTTTGACCAGGATTTTTTCGAAATCCTTTTTGTGAGATAAAAGCGAATTTGTAATCATTTTAAAGTGTTTAACTGTTTTACATAAGCACAAAACAATCACAAACTTATTCTGGAACTTTTTGCTTGCTTTTGGCATTGATTCGAAAATGTACTTCTCTTCGAACCCTTTTTGCCATGCGAATGTAACCGAAAAGACTATAAATAATAACATGAAGTACCCTGCTGCTGCTTATCTCGGCTTTTAAAAAAGGGAATTTAGCGCACTTTTCTATAATGAGCAAGTCTAATCTGTTCATCGATGGTGATAGTATGTCGTTATTATCATGGAGTAGAAGATGGAAATCATTCTGTCTTGTCTTTCCTTCGCAGCAGTTCTACTACAGTGCCCTCAAAAAAGCACCACTGCTGCGCAGCTTGCCCGGTTGTGATCAGATCTACATCCGCAGGTCTATGACCCGCGAGGAAAGAGATCACGACCGGGCCCTGCGTCAGCAAGCTCGGGAGCTGAATAGCAAAGAGCACGGTGGGGGCAAGGTCTTCGTAGTTTATAGAGGCGAAGTTGTGAAGGCCTCAGACATTCCCAGCATCAAAGCAAGCCTGCAAAAAAACTGATTACGTGCTCAGACTCCTCCTCGGTTACTTGTCTTTTACTAAATGCTAGAAGTTTAATGAACAAACTTGTTGATTTCCATCATCTACTCCATACTCAGAAACCGGCTATGGTTTTTGTGACAGAATCATGGTTTAGTAGTTTTATTAGTGATGCAGAGATTTTGAGCGATCTTCCGTACAATATTTTGCGTAATGATCGCAAAAAAAGAAGAGGAGGAGGGGTATGTGTATTGATCCGATATGATCTCGTTTTTCGTACTATCGAGCAGAGGCACTTTGTGCCAACGAACCTGATTGCTTTTGACCTTATCTTTGGTGCCGATAACTTTACCAGATTCGTACTGCTCTACCGGCCACCCAGTCAAACGTCTGTTTTTGATGAACAACTTATTGGCATTCTGGAAAACTTAGCCACGTCTACTCGAAATATCATTTTTCTTGGCGATTTCAATCTAAATGATATTGACTGGACAGAAATGAAAGCAATCTCATCATCCTCTTCCGCTCGCTTTGTTTCGCTTTTTGAATGTCTGGGGCTTCCACAACTTGTTAAAGCTCCCACAAGGGGAGCCTCTATTCTAGATCTTATATTTGCTAAGAGTGAGACTGTTACTGAGATTCAAATATATCCCCCCTTGGCAAGTTCTGATCATAATATAGTGTCTTTCAATATAGCCTTGTCTACTGGTCATGATGATATACCTGAGCATTCGTCTATACGCGACTACTCTAAAGCTGACTTGAGATCCATAAAAGATGCATTGTCAAATATTGATTGGTTGAGTGTGTTCGATGGATACTCCAACATTAATGATCTTTACAATCGCTTTCTCAATATAATCCACGACTTGATTGAAAAATACGTTCCCATAAAGAAAAGACAACCTTCCTTTCTACGTTATCCTCAGCATATAAAAAATCTTTGGATGCAGAGAATTAGACTGTTTTTGAGCCTTAATGATCCCCTAAACAATACAGAGTACAAAATTGTCTCTAAGGAGTTATCAAGGCATTTGAGGCGTTACTTGAAACAGAAGGAAAAGAGAATGTTCAGAAATACTGGCAAATGTAAACTTTGGGCCTATCTGAAAAAACATTTGGAAGGAAACAAATTCTTTGGTCCTTTGGAAGACTTTAATGGCAATGTATACAATACTTCCATCTCCAAAGCTGAAGCTTTGGCAGATCAGTTTTCCTCCGTGTTCTCAGAACCTTCTGCATCATGTCCCATATTGATTAACAGATCCTTGGGTTGTTGCCCTTTACCAAGGATAGACCCTTCGTCCGTACGCAAACTTTTGAAAAAAGTAAGCCCAACGTTGTCTATCACATCTGACAACATACCTCCTATCTTTTACAAGATGTTTGCTGCCGAACTAGTGCCTCCATTAACTCACATCTATAATATATCCTTGATGAATGCAAAAGTGCCTCACCTCTGGAAATCCGCCATTGTTACTCCTCTCTCCAAGACATCTCTCAATCCCAAGCTCTCTGACTATAGACCAATAAGTATACTCCCTACTCCTTGCAAAATATTAGAAAAAATAATTGTTAGAAATTTGTTGCATTGGCTTGATAAATTAAATTGTCTGCCTGAGCAACAACATGGATTTTTGCAAGGCCGATCTACCGGTACACAATTTCTCGACGTCCAATTTGACTGGACAGAAGGATTGAGTCTGAATAAGTCCATAGATGTAGTCTATTTTGACCTGAGTAAAGCATTCGACACAGTTGATCACAATCTTCTTTTGTCTAAGCTGGAGAGCTTGGGAGTGAGAGGTTCACTACTGAGATGGTTCGAATCCTATCTTCAGAACAGAACCTTCTCTGTTCGTGTACTTGACAGAATTTCTGCGGCTAGACCTTGTAAGTCTGGAGTTCCTCAAGGCAGTATTCTGTCACCGATTCTTTTTATTATTTATACCATTGACCTGCCAGCCTGTCTTATCACAGATCCACGAGTTAGAGTGGCTGCGTACGCTGATGATGTTAAAATATATATCGTCTATGACCAGCGCGACAAGGGGAATGCTCATGCAGCACTTCGTAGCTCAATTTCTCGAATGATTGATTGGGCAGATAGATGGAACATCAAAGTAAATTACTCCAAAAGTTGTACTGTTCCCATTGGCAGAACCCCTTCCCATTCAATTGATAGCAGCTTTGATCTCGAGTGTAAATTCCTGGTCAAAGACCTTGGAGTTCTCACAGATTCTAGACTTAGTTACTCGTGTCAAATAGACGAAATTGCCTCTCGAGGAACTCGAATACTGTATGCGCTTATGCGCAGTGTGCAATCTTCAGATCCTAAACTTCTTCTAAAAATCTATAAAACATTTGTTCTGCCAGTTGTGGAGTATTGCAGCTTTGTATGGAACCCTACTTTGAAAAAAGATGTTGATAAAATTGAAAAAATTCAAAGAATATTTACTAAGATTGTTTTCTATCGCGCATTTCCCAATCCGAATTACCCTTTCGCCTTGCCAAACTACACAACCAGAATTCGCAAGTTAGGTCTCAAAACTCTTTTCTACAGAAGGTTGTTAGCAGATACTATTATGGCCTTCAAAGTTCTGCGAGCCGAGGTGGGTTTGAAACCCAGTAAATACTGGGTTTTCCAACCTATCAGTGAACGCAGGGCCTCTGTTAACCTGGTTGTTTCTAGGTTTGGAAGGCACAACATCTCATTGCAACGCAACAACTTCTTTTACCGAGCAGCTTCGATCTTGAATAAACTTCCACCACCATTCTTAGCTTTAAATTCAGTGGCTCAATTGAAAACGGCGTTGAAGAAAGTAGATTTATTGCAGTTAATGGGAATTGATGATGTGAAATAATTTTTTTTTAGAATTATTTTGCCATCCTTTCTTTGGCATGATCCGCTGCATTCTTTCGATGTTATCAATCGGTACTTTGGCAGCATGGGCCCCAAACGGTTTCCTATCTTGCTTTTTTTGTCCTGTCTAGCTCTGTTAGTCTCATTGTACTTTCAAAAATTCACTCATCCTTCCTCGGGGCTTTAACCAGCTAGCTTCCGCCCGTAGGCTCGCTGGCCTTCACAAAAGAGGGACTTTAATTTCTGAAAGACAGTGAGACTAACAGTTTTAATATGCTATACACCAGAGTAACAACTCTGGCCACTCCTTACTCAAAGATAATCCCAGGGACAAGGTTTGGTGCCTTAGTTTCTCCGTACTTCCTGCAGGGGACATGCCAACGATTGGTTCATACGTGTTCTTTTCATGTGTGTTTGATTAACCATGTGATGGTGATATAGTGTGTTTGTTACTAACCGCTCCGATCAGGATCAAAGAGCACTTTTTGGTGCATTTAAATAAATAAATAAATAAATTATCATGACAATGTTCCTTTCAAAACTCTTTGATCGAAATGAGGTCAAAATCAACTAAAAAACAGATTGAACTTACATTGCTAGGTGGAGTAACACAAACTCTTGGTAAACCTGTTGAACATGTAGATGACATATCAAATTTTTTTGACACGTGACAGAAGCTTGACACTCTTTCCTATGAAGCTTGTACCAAAATATGGTACAATGATAGAAGCAATATATTTTTTTGAAAAAATGGAACCGGATAACGGAAAAGTACCGTTAATTCTTCTGTCCTATTTGTGCGAAGATAAGGAATTTTCCAAGCAAAAGCAAGAAAAATCAATAAATCGATAGAAGCAATGGGTGGATCCCGAACAAGATGGCTTATTAACACATGCCCCACCCTATGCATTGCATATGCCAAATTTGGCTCAGATTCCATACTCCTTCTATCTTTTTGAGCGAATATAAAGGATTTTTAAGGAAAAGCAGCAAAAATCAATAAATCGATAGAAGAATGGATGGGTCCCGAAAAAAATGGCTTGTTAACACATGCCCCACCCCATGCATTGTGTGTGCCAAATGTGGCTCAAAATCCGTTGCTCCTTCTATCCTTTTTGGGCGAACATACGAAAAGTGGCTTAGACAAATATTATATAAGTATCGATGTCTTTTCTCAATTTGTTTTCAATCCCTAAACCAAGAATAAAAGCTTTGGTTTGGGTGTGCCATCGCATGCAGGGACAAATCGCAATCGCGGACGTTGTCGGCTGCTCTCTTGTCGAGCGCTCTTATGGCTCACGCCATACTTGATCCACGTGACGCTTGATTCACTTGATCCACTTCGCTACTGGTCAGATCAGTGAGCTGAACAGTAGCGAAGCGAATGTCCACCTAATCCAATGATCCATTTCATCAACTTCGCTACTAGTCCGTTCATGATCTGACCAATCGCGAATTGAATGGAGTGGATCAAGTGTGGCTTGTGCCTGTATCTCCTCCCGTCTGTTCCTAAGACGAGCTGTATACATCGGACGCAATTGTGTCCATTCCCTGCGTACGATGCCTCCTCTATGAAAACAAAGCCAGCAGTTTTCAATAAACTTAGCAATACAAAAAATAGTGGGGGATCAAATTTCATTTAATGTCTTGTATCTGAAAACATACAAAATCGATTTTTTCAATTTATGATCATCTCATCCTTTCAATTTTAGGCGGTAAATGCGAAAAGAACAGCGCAAGATTATCAAAAAAACCGTGTTTGAAGAGAAGATTACTCATCTGCAGCAGAACCATGATGCAGTTATCGCAAAGAACGATGCGGTGACCGCTGAACTCGACCACATGAAGATTGTCTTGGCGATTTGCTTTCCAACTCTGCATCCATGAAACTTATTTTCAAGGAATGAAATGCGTGATTTAAATCATCGCAATGCGTTGCTGGTGCAAAAGTTGGGTGACGCTGAGCGAAGATGCGAGGATGGAAATCAGTCAAAAAGAATGCTCACTCAGCAGATTGCCGCTTTCCAACGGGCTGAAGGAGAATGGAGTAAGCTAGAGCGGGAGATGAGGGACGAACTGGTTGTGCTTCGTAGAGGTAGGTTGTTCAAGAAATTCAAACCATTTTTATAGACTGTGTCAATGATGTGCACCTTTATCGATCAGCATACGCGCAACGCTAGAGCCCCGCGACGCGCGTTCATTCGCCACTATCGCAGATCGTTGCGCAATGTCCACGCACTGCGGATGGTAGTTGCGCCGAAAAAGGAAGCCACTTGAGTTGACATAGATCGTAGTACTGTTTACTAACATGCGAGCGAGCGAGCGTCAGGCAGCGTTGCGGTCTCATTTCGCAAAGGCAGCACATGGTATATCCGATAGCTCTTACGAATTACACAGATTCTCAACGCTGCCGCACTTGCGCGCATATACTGGCCGTCAACATTGTGCGCTTCATTGCCAATTTTCAAGCGCAGGTGTTGTTGTCACCACAGCTGCACTGTGTTAACCGTCGAGTCTTTCCAGACTATTTCCTTTGTATTTGAATAAAAGGGCTGTCAGATAAAGCTAATAGCTAGTGATATTTCAAAATGATTGTAGAAAGATTGGTGCTGACAAATGAAGTGGAGGAGCTGAAACGGAAGCTTGTCAGAGTAGAGGTCGAAAAGAAAGAGTTGGACGGTTTCCGTGCACGTTTAGATCGAGAAGTGGCGTCTCTGAAGAAACATGTTGAGGCTGTAAGTTTACTGCATCTGATATTTTCTTCAAATATCATTATACCTCCTGATGGATCACTTTTGGCTGGAGGAGGAAAAAACACGCACCGAAATAGCTGTTCGTAACACGCTCAGCGAAAGAAAAGCCATCGACAAATCGCTGGCAGCTATGGAGAAGGAAAATACAGAACTGTACAGAAATTGTGCCCAACTGCAATCTCAGGTTTGAAAATTTTGCAGTTAATCACCTAAAAGTTAATCTTTTTTTCCAGATTGCCCAGCTAGAAAGAGATACCGGTAATTGGAATATGACTAAATTGATGAAGGAACAAACTAAATTGGAATCTAGAATCTCAAAGCTTTCTGTAGAAAAAAGACAGGTTAGCTTTGCATATTTGTAGTGTTTTTATCTCAATTATTTTCTTCTTTGCCATTGATTTTTCTGTTTTCTGTGATCGTAATTTTTTACGCGCAACCACTTTTCTGTCATAGTCTAACTTTCTTTCTTCTTGAGCCCACTATGCTTGAAATTCATCATATATTGTTCTAAGTCTGATGATCATGTACAAATAGACTTATCCCTGCTAGTTTGTGTAATTGCACAATTTTCAGGATAGGGTTCTATGGGAACAAAAATGGACTTTCTTGCATTTCTTAAGTTTCTTCGTTGTCTGGGCAGAGTCGTGTTTCAAAAAAGCATGAATGACCGCATGAGAGGGGAGGGTCGGGCTAGGCCAATCGCCATCCTGGAAAATGTATTGCACATATTAACTAGGCGACCTACTCGATTGTAAAACCATGTAGTCGTATTACTGTTAGTGCATATTTCATCACCTCGAATTCGCAATTCGAAGCGTTTCTGGTAGAAAACATAGACAGATACGCGAGGTACGGTACGCGGCCAGTGCCGCGCACTGGCCGCAAAAATTACATTCTACGCGTCCCCTTCACCCCCTCTATCGTCCACTGCGCCTCTCCTCAGACGTAACCTTCTTAAGACAAACTTGCAATGTAATATGGAATGGAAGCTTAGTTCGGTCATAAAACCCCTGTTTTGTTGCCTTGTGCTCACATGTTCTCCAAAAAAATCTCCTCTGTAATTCCCTTTTGTGGGACAGATTCATAACGATGGAATGCTTGATGATGGTTGTGTGATGGCTGTTAACCGTTCTTGATTTCCTCAGTTTTAGCTTGAAATGGTCATTGAACAAAAGGAACAGACCTTTGCACACAAACGGAAGATGTTGGGATCGCAGCTAGCGCTTCTCCGAGAGCAGCTGGCCGTCGAGAGAAAGCGCCGACTTGAACTACAGGATCGTGGACGATCCGAACCAGCGGAGCGACAGTATAGTCGAGCTGCGGATTTCCGCATGAGCAGAAAGACACTTCAGCGGCAGAAAAGCCCGTTTCGGGTATGAACGCTTTGCCGCAAGCCGAGACTCGATGGAAACCCGGTTTCTGCTGACCTTATGTTGGGACTTGCTTTCGCTTCTAAACTCGCTTCACTTGGTTTGACCCCGTTTCTAGTTCTACCCGTATGTGATCCCCCTTTAGTCAGTTCTACCGGCTACATACCACCTGTTGAGTGTGCCTATATAGGCGTGTCAATTTACGTAATGCTAGTTTTGTTATTTAGCTGTTTGCTAATGCTTACTGAGTCTTTCGTTCATTTGCTGATCTTTTCACAAAGCTTTGCCATAATTTTTCTGCCATTTTTTTGCATTTATAGAGCCAATATCAAAGTCCAAATCTTTCTTGTACACTGCGCTTAGGAGAGTTCTATGGTTTTTTGAATGAATATGATTACTGACAATTCTGTTCTTGTTCCAACAAAAATGTCTCCAGTCTGCGTGCCTGCTTGGTAAAAACACGGTTACAACTATCTCCACGCATCTTATTAGATTCATATAGTGCTTATGGAATAAAAACACTGTCCGCTCATGCTACAAATAGATTATTGTTCACTGAGCACATGTCTACAAACCTGAAATCATTACAGCACAATACTCACTTCTGAATGGAAAAGAACATCTGATCAGCTGCAAACACGAAGGCTGATTCCAGGAGTTGTCCGTTCTAGCCCCGTGCCAGCACCGTACAGGCGCAATGCCGGGACGTCGATCGTTCTTGCATAGCAGTTGGAGATGGGTTTCCACTATACATGCTAGCACGGTGCTAGAACGGCGCTGGCACAGCGCCATTACAAGTGCAATTTTGGACGTCACCTAAACGACATGTGCTGAAATCCTAAAGAGACCCGTTTGAAGACAATGTCTACGCAAACCTAAATTGAAGAGCTTTGACCGTGCCATTGCCCATCCGGCTGCTCATGTGATCCATCTGTAAGATTTCCACTGTTAGACTCTCTCCCATACTGTAGTCAAAAGCCTTGCCTGATCCTCGCGGAAAGGCGGTACTGGGCGAAATAGTCTAGAGCTGTTTTTCCTTGTTATGTATAATTTATGATAGCTATTGCTCCGGTATTGGCTCGCTTAGCAACTCAAATAGATTCCGAGTAAAAAGCTCGAGCACTGAGGTTGAGTGGACACTGGCTTTGGGCTTTCTAGGAAGATTCGAGGTCGTTCTGCTGAGATTTAAATACGAAAAGTTTGAAACACATCGCACATTGTTTCAGAAAGACTGCCGAACAAAAATGGCTCGTGCTCGCACTTAGATTAAAAAAATCATTTGAGTTTTAGTTGGTGCCTGTCTGCTGAGGAGGTTTCACACAGTTGCAGTCTTTGTGAAGTATCGCTTCAGTGATTTCCATATTTCGACCACCTTTCCAGCGTGTGACGTCTCTCACTAAATTAGTAGCAGTAAAATGACACAAGTCATAGCAGGAATATAGGAAACTACAAAAGAAACGAGTGCTTGGTTGATTTGCAAAAAAATGACGCAGCTGACTGTGCAAATCTGAGGTTTTGATGCTTGCTGCTAGCGTCCTCATTTTCAGGGTGCTGCTCGTGGACGTAAACGCAATAAACCATGGATCTGAGGAGAGTCTAATCTGAAGCAATTGAGCGTGAGGACCGATGGACGTAGCGTGAACCGATAGTACGATGCGGAGTTCTCGAAAATCTACCAGCACAAAATTACCATGAAAATGTGCATTTTTTTCATAGAAATTCATAATTCAAGGTTGTCATTACTACGCCAAGATAGACAAAACAGATTTAAAACTTATGTAAACAACAATGGGTTGACATCAATAAACGGTTGGAGTACCATTCCATAACATCACCCAAAGGAATGAAGCAAGCTAAAATTCAGATGCATGCAGGGTGACCCAAAACAATGTGCAAACTTTTTGATCGTTAACAACTCGCTTGCTTTGATCACTTTCGCCGATCTCTAGATACCGTTCTGTAGAGCTGGTCCCGCTTGAATACATTATGAAACGAATCTCTTATCTTTTTTCGTTACCTTTACTTATCTCTTATCGTTTTGACACTTATCTTCGCATTGTGAAATTTATTCAGGAAAGAAAGTGTAAGCCCTAGAGCTGTTATTCTAATATTTACGGCTTACCCACATGTGATGAAAATGCGAATTTCTGCGAATTCCATTTTAAGTCAAAATGTAATGTTAGCAAGTGAAAAAATGTTGTATCCGCATTTGCTAGAAAGACTTCATCATAATTTCATAAAATACCTCAACAAGATTCTTGGTAAAAAGGCTATGAAAATAAGCAGAAATAGAAAAAGATGTATGTGATTAGTGAAATTACAAAAATGTAGCATAGCGGTTCGTAGTAAGCTGATTACCTCTTTATTTATGGAAGTAAAAGGAGCGAATAAAGTCCGATCTTGTAAGCTCAAACCTGTCCTATATTTATTTTGCATATCTAAATGAATCGAAGTACCTAACGTGACATAAGCTGTGTCACATTCGAATTTTTACGGCGTTAAGTTACCCTATTTTCAGGTGTATAAGCCGCACCCTTTTCACTCTAAAGGCGAACACGCCAAAAGACTGACTGTCATCATGGAGCGCGTTAAGTGGGAGCAGTATGCGATAAGGCGACCGCTTCGCGAGACATATGCGCGGCGGCACGCCTGGGTCTGCTCACGTTTAGAGCAAAAAGGGTGCGGCTTATACAATACCGCTCATAATTCGTCAAAAATGTCGCCGGACTGCGGCGCATTCCGCCACACTCCGCCACAGTGTGCCGGAGTGTGGCAGAGTGCGCCGGAGCGCGGCAGAGTGCGCCACACTCCGCCGCAGTGCGCCGGAATGATCGTCAATTTAGCCATATCTCGCTTTAGAATGGACGAATTCTGAATCCGAGGACACCGTTCGATTCAGCTCGACGAGACGCATCATCCTATATATGAAGCTGAACGTCTGTTTGTCTGTTTGCCTGTACGTATGCTCCGAATAGAAAATTCCATTTCTGAACCGATCTGGACCAAACTTGGCACGCATACACTTCGGGCCCCGGCGGGTGTCATAGGCTACTTTTCTTCATCGATCAATATCGATTTTATCGATTTTTATCGATTTTTTGCAGAGTTCACCTACGGGGCTGGGAGTTTGCATAGGGGAGTAATCGAGCATGGGGATTCCGAATACAATATTAGTTGTCAGGATTATCGAATACTTTTATCGCTTTTATCGATTTTTCTGCAAAGTTTGAGCTAAAGCAGTGGTATCAACGCAGAGTACTTAATCGAGCATGGGGATTTCGAACAATATTTGTTTTCAGAATTATCGATTATTATTTTGGTTGAATTCAGTGTGCTGATAACAGTATTACCATTGATCTGTCGCTGATGACACATAGACAGTACAGTACAGGAGTATGGTAGAGAGCCACTCTGATCGAATTTGTTCTAAGATCTGCTCAAAATCACAATACCGCTCACAGAATGTCAAAATTTCCGTGAACTTCGCGGAATTTCGGGGTTTCCGCCAGAGTGCGCGATAATCCGGGAAGTTCGCGACATTTCAGGATCAGCGAAACCAGATCACGCAGAGTATGCAACGCCATAACTTCCTTTGGAATGAATATATTCCGA